TTATTTTATTTTTTATTTCCGGTCGCGTGCCACAACGCACCGCGCCGCTCCGCGGCTGGAGAAAAAACAAAAACAGCCTCATGGTTGGGCCACAGCCGAGATGTCTCGGCCACACCCCAGACTGGCCACGGCCGAGATGTCTCGGCCACACCCCAGATTGGCCAGGGCCGAGATGTCTCGGCCACAGCCGAGATTTGCAGGCACTACCCTTCACAAGCAAACGAGTAGTCTCAAGAGTAGCCTACTCCGAAGAAGTGGGGGGCTCGGGGCAGGGATGGAGGCTAAAAAAAGAAAAAGAAGAATAAAAAAGTAAAGAAACGAGGAACGGGGAATCCACCTACATCGGGAAGGCCCTCACCTCACAGTGCTTTGAGGAATGTATCTGGCCAGGAAGTGAGGAACATGAAACAGGTCGTTTTCCTTTTTTGTTTCTTGTTCTCAAGTCCTAGGAGCGCCCTGCCAGCCAGGCAGGGCGGATTCCATGCGAGGCAGCTAACTGCCTCACTTCATTTAGCATCCTGTATGGGACCGCAATCACAGCACAAGGGATGTTTTTTCTTTTTTTTTTTAATCTGCTGTTCGTGGATAGACGAGGGCCCGGACCGAACTGCTAAAAAAGCCAGCCCGAGTTTCAACTGCAATTGAGAGTTGGGCCCTGACTAAACTGCTAAAACACAGTTTTAATGGCAATTACAAACTGTTTTTGTGACTGCGCCGAAGTTACCCCCAATATCAAACATCAAATTTTGAGGGGTTGGGTGTTTGTGGGTGAAAAACAAATAAAAAAATATAAATAAAAATATTATTAATCGATTGATTGATTGATTTTGTGTGTTTGATTGATTGATCGATTGAGTTTCGGATCAATTGATTGATTGATTGTTTGATTTTGTGTGTTTGATTGATTGATTTAATTGATTGACTGATTGATTGATTGATTGACTGATTGATTGCTGGGGGAGGGGTCAACCAGCGTGGCCCGGGAGGGCCGGGACCTACGAATCCCCCACGGCCGCGGTCGCCGCAGTCACGGTCGCCGCAGTCACGACCGCGGCCCTGCCGTCATGTCTGCGGCCGCGTGGCCGCCAGAGGGGGAGGGGGTTGGGGGTGGGGGCTGCGGGTTGGGGTTCCGGAACCCTGGCCCTACCTTCTTGATGAAAAAAAAAGTCAAGAAAGAAGATTTTCCGGAGGGGGGAGTGGGCAAGGGGGGGGGGGTTGGTTTGTGAAAAAAAAATTATATTGATTGATTGATTGATTGGTGGGGGAGTGGTCCTCCCTCTCCTCCCCCCAGCATACACACACACGGACACACCCGCGTGCACACACACACACACACACACACACACACACACACACACACACACACACATGCGCGCGCACACACAGGCACGCTCACACACATACGCGTGCACAAACACACAAACACACATGCGTGCGCACACACACACACACACACACACACACACACACACACACACGCGCGCAATGGTTTTTATTTTATTTTTTTATCAATCGGTCAATCAATCAATCACAGTCACTCACTCACTGGATCAATCAATCAATCAATTAATCAGTATGAGTGCACTATGTTTATCCCACCAGCAATCAGAAAAAAATGAAAAAACAAAAGGTTCCTCTTTTGTTTCTTGTGATTTTAATACTTGTTTTTCGTTTTCTATTTTTTTTAATCACAAGTAACGTCAAAATCCCAAAAACAAAACAGAGGACGTACGTATTTTCAAACCCTATTTTTTATTTTATTTTTTGCTTATTTTCCTGGGAGTTGAAATTATCGAGGGTTTGTGACTGCACTCGATAATTTGGTCGGTCCCGGCGGTCATGATCCGCTGGTCGAGTGCAGTCGGTCCCGGCGGTCATGATCCGGACCGCAGACGGTCAGCAGCCCCGCAGTCATGACCGCGGGGGATACATAGCCCGGGACCACTTCCCCTGCCAGGCCAAAAAAAACAGGTGCAACATGTTTATCCCACCAGCAAATGAAAATATAGGCTACCAGCCGGCCACCCGGGGCCAATTCCCACTAGCGGCAGTCCTGTTCCTGTCCTGTCTTCAGAACTACGCAGCACATTGCGACGGCAGGCAGCGTCTCCGTGGGGCAAAACAATATAATTCCAGCTGTGTAGCAGGTTTACGGTTCTTCCACATGGAGTACCTAAAAAAAAAAAACGCCTAGGAAGCTTCCGGGCTGAGCTCAACATTCACAAGAGACAAATTCTACACATATGGAAGTGTATCTTTCCATATTCTTGCGGAAAGTTCATTGTCGAATTCCACCTTTGGAGAGCAGTGCACCTAGGCCCAACGGTGGTGAACTCTTTCCTTTCTCAAACAGACCCTGGCCATCTTGTGATGCAGGGTTTTGCTTTTCTTTTTTTCTTTTTTTTTGCTACCTTAACTCTAGCCTCAACACGTGGAAGGTATTTACTGAAAAAAAAATTCTTCCTTTTCTTGCCCTCTCCCTTTTTGTTTTTGGTTCACCACCGCCCCCTCACTAGCGTGATGTGCACCACCCCCTCCCCCTCTCTCGCGTGATGCACATCCTGTTCTTGCCTCAGGCTAAACTTGTCGAAACCAGACAGTGATGTGCACCACCCCCGCCCCCTCGTGATGCACATCCTGTTCTTGCCTCAGGCTAAACTTGTCGAAATTAGACAGCAAAGGTACTACCTGTAGTGGCCCGGGGGCAAGGTCCCACTTGCGCTGATTAGGAGATTTCGGCCGTTGATCTGTGCTATCTACCGTCAATATCTCTTAATTCGTGCAAGTGGGACCTAGCCCCGGGACCACTTGCCTTAGACAAAAGAAGGTGAACATGTGCAGCCAACGCTGAAGCACCAAGTTCATGGCCTGCCTCCATAAGCCAACGTGAAAATGAGGAGAATGGCCTTGGCCTACGATCCATGGAAATCGGCGGTGGCAAGGAGTTCCACAAAACAGAGAGAGGTCCCAATTACAGGAACAGCAGCAATGGTAGTGGAACTTGGCCCCGGGGCAAGGTCCCACTTGCGCAAATTGGGAGATATGGGCCGTTGATCTTTGCTATCTACGGTCAGTATCTCTTAATTCGTGCAAGTGGGACCTAGCCCCCGATAACCCTGTTTTCCCTGCTGGGGCCGGCCCGGCCATGCAAGGACCACTGAGGGTCCACGCAAAAAAAAAAAAAAAAAAAAAAAAAAAAAGCAGAAAATTAAACTGAACAACGTTTGAGTCAGGGTCACAAGAAAAAAAAAAAAGATCTTTACCAAATTGAAATTAAATAAAAAATAAAAAATAACTTTTTTTTCTGATTTTTCTTTTTGGGCCTTGCTGGGCAAGAGGTCCCGGGGGCCAAGTCCCACTAGCAGCGTTAAACAAACTCAACGCCTGAATCTGGACGCTTTCCGGAGATGTGCGGAAATGGTGTCGAGTTTCCTGAACTGCACGTCCAGATTCAGGCGTTGAGGTCTCTCAACGCTGCTAGTGAGACTTGGCCCCGGGGGTGTGGTCCCATTAGCAGTCGGATAGAAGCGTGGCCGATCCAGTGTGACACTGGAGTGGCAGCGGCCTGACAGGTTCATTACGAATTTCTGGGGTGAGAAAACAAGAGAAAGGCAAAAAAAAAAAAAAAGAAACAGAGACCTCCCACCTGAAATCACGGCAGAGAGCTTCCCAGCCATCAGATGACAAATGATCTGATGGTGGTGGTTGCAACAACAGTGAACAAAGAAACTGCCACATTTTCTGGAATAAACTCAACTTCTGTCGGCAGGGATCCTGACGCCCTCCACATACTCCGTGATTGAAGTAGGGCTCCACCCAATGAGATAATTGCACAACACCACGCAAAATACTGAAAATGTTCTATCCAGTGGGCCTATGGCTGACCCCACTCTCTTTCGGGGTTGACCACGCCCCCAACGGATTGAAAAGATTTTGGCGGGAAGCTTCGTTTGCACCGGCATGCCCAGTGTTAAGGAGAGGAGGGGAACGAAGATCTCCTTACTTTTTCGGGTAATACATGTAAAACACTGACCGTGGGATCACGAGTACTGCACGGCAGGATTTGGGTCACTCAACTGCCGCACAAACTCTTTTCTATCCTATCCGGTTGCTAGTGGGACCATGCCCCGGGCCACTAGTACCTTTGCTAAACAGGATGACCTGGACGGCCCAGCTAGTAGCCCAGCTTTTTTTTAAAATTAAAATACATCTTTTTTGTTTTCTATTTTTTTTTATAAAAAACGATGTTGAAATCCAATAAAACCACTGTGGGGTCTTTTTTTTCGTTTTGCCGCTTAATTTTCTAGATAAAAATAAATAAATAAACTTGCCTGTACCCGACCGCCGGACGAGTTGGACCCCGCAGTCATGACCGCGGGGATTCATAGTATCTTTCTATCTCTCCCCCCTCCC